GGGGCGGAGAGACGAGGGAGGAGAGCAGAAGAAGGCGAGGAGGAGGAGGACGAGGAGGAGGAGGAGGAAGAGGAGGAGGTGGGATGCTGGAGCGTCTGTGCACCCAACTCCTTCGCCGAATCAGTGAGCTCCTCGGCCAGCCAGACGTTGTGGTGTGCATGCACGGTTTCCCCTGGGGCCGTAGGCGACCTGAGGAGGAGGAGGAGGAGGAGGAGGAATCGGAGGAGGAGGAGGAGAAAGAGGAGGAGGAGGAGGAGGAGGAGGAGGAGGAGGAGGAGTTGATTCCACGTTGCATTCAATGTTGATTCCACGTCGCATTGTTTTATCAGGCAGTCTCAGATTCAAGACGCGGCAGTGCAAGCGTTCCCCAAGCCCGAGCACGCGAAACGTAACGCGGCTCTAATTCAGGGCACGTTGGAACTTGTACTGCGGAGAGGTGTGCTCAGGAAGCGTTTTCGGTCGCTTGGTCACGATATTGCGCACCTGGTTGACAAGACTTTGTGCCATGCCGCATTCCGGGCCTGGGTCGCGACGGCAGGAGGGGCGCCTTCCACGCTAATGGATTGCAGGAGTTTGTTTTGGGATGTTTGTCTCAACAGAAGTCTTTGCGGCGCGGCCATCGATAAGCTTTCGATGGAAATCAGACAGGCGCTGGACGAGGATGCTGCCCATTTTGCTGAGCGGACGCGGCTTGAGCTGGAGAGCGCAGCGGCCGATGTGTCGATGCGGCGCATGTTCAATTTGCTAAAGCCTCTCTATAAGCCACCCCAGCATTCGGCAGCAGGTGTAAAGAAGGCAGACGGCACGGTCACATTGTCAGCCTGCCGGACAAAGCGCGAGATAGCCGAGCATTTTGCGAAGCTGTTGCAGGGGACGAAAACCACTATGCGCGATCTGGTGGAAAAGGATAGGGCGGATAATCTCGTTGATGTAGATCTTTCTATTGATGCGATCGACTTTGGTCTTGTCCCGAGCGTGTCTGATATTGCGTGCATTTTTGCGCACATGAGGCCGTTGGTCGGGATATCCGAAGATTGCAACGGGTCAGAATTGTTCAAAGCAGCCCCTCTTGAGTGTGCCAGGTTGTTCCACCCGCTCGCGTTCAAGTCCGTCGTGGCCCTGCAGCCACCATTGCAGTGGAAAGGGGGGCATTTGTTTGAAATCTACAAAGGCAAGGGGCAATGACCGAAATTCCGTCATACAGGGACGTGACGATTTGTGAGGCTGCGTCGAAATCGCTGTCCCTCCACATGCGGTCCCGCGGGATGCCCGCTCTTGCTGCGACCAGCTCTCCCTTGCAGTTTGGTGGCGGGCTCAACGGAGGTTCCACGGAGTTTGCTCATTTGTACATGATTGCGTGCATGGACGTTGCTCGTGCTAGGAAGCTTTCCTTCGGTGCTCTTCTTGTCGACTTGCAGACTGCATTTGCTAGCATTGCGAGGATTCTTGCTTTCCCTTCGCCGCCGGCGTCCATGGACGCATTTACCGCGCGCCTGTTGGCCGCCGGGTTTTCTGCCGAGGACGCCGCGGAAATTGCCGAGGGCCTTTGTGCCTATGAGCATTGGACCGCGAGAGGAGGCACGAAGCACTATCTCAAGATGCTGAGTAAATTGCATAGACAATCCTGGTTTGCGATGGAAGGCGTCACGGGCTGCGTGCAGACTGAGTCAGGGAGTCTTGCGGGTAATGCGCTTGGGGACTTTGTCTTCCTCCTCGCCTTCAGCCGCGTGATCCGCGCTGTGGAGTTACGCCTCGCGGCAGCAGGGTTGCTTTTCGAGCTCCCCGCTGAGCCGTTGATCGCCGGTTTCGGTGCTGAGCCGGAAGGCGAGCGGCACCAGGAGCCAGAGCAACTTGGCGCGGCAGGGTATATGGACGATGTTGTCCAGCCATTATTCGGCCGGGCGTGTGATATTGTTCCTAAAATGGCGAAGTGCGCTGCAATTTTCGAAGACGTTTTCTCCACGTATGGTTTAATCATAAATTTCAAACGCGGTAAGACAGAAGCGCTGTTCAGATTCGCGGGCCCCGGGTCCGTTGAAGCACAGCGGCAGCTTTTCACTGACCGGGGGGGCGTCATTCATTTTGACGCTCGCGGCGTGCAGCGCCAGCTGGTTGCCACGGCTCAGTATAAGCATGTTGGTACGCTCACGTGTTCCACGGATTCTATGCACCCAGAGATCACGGCCAAGATCGGTGCTCTGCGGGGCGTCTTTCAACAACTGCGTTACAGCGTGCTGCAGAGGAATTCTCTCCCAGTTGACACGCGGCTTGCGCTGTGCCAGGGGGTGGTCTTTACGCGCGGCCTTCACCAGGCCAGTACATGGCCACAGTTACACACGGCTGAGCTGATGAGAGTCCACACAGCAGTGATGCAAGTATACTCGTCCGTGTTAAAAGAAGATCCGCGCGACCCTCGTTGTCCCTCTCACGACTCCATTGCTGAACACGAGTGCTTCGTTGCACCTGCGATCATGATATTGTGCATGCGCGTTGGGCTCTTTAGCAGAGTCTGTTTGCATGCCCCGCGTGCGCTGTGCGTTGTTTTATCTCACACGATTGCGGTCCGCAGGTCCTGGATGCACGCGGTTTCCGAAGATTTGAACTTGTTGGCACCTCGTTCTGGCGCGTTCTCCGAGTACGCGACAAAGCCAATCAGAGAATGGGTGCCCGTGATCCGTGCCAACCCGAAACGCTTCAGGGCTGCACTGAGAGATGCCCGGCAAGAGCGTGGGTTCAATGCGGTGAGGACCTGGGCTACAACCCGGCGGATGGCTGAGGTGAATGACACATTTCCGTGCCATTTGTGTGCGTACACATGCAATTCGAGGCAGAAGTTGGCCACCCATGCTTTCTCAGTGCATGGTGTGCGGCGCCGCACTTGCGATCTCATCGATACAACACATTGTCCAGCGTGCATGCAGTTTTTCCACACGCGCGTTCGAGTGGTGACCCATTTGGAGGAGAAGTCGGAAAAATGCCGCTCTGTAGTCATGGCGACTTGCAACATATTGCCGGCTGACGTTGTTACCGAACTCGATCGGAAGGATGCCAAGGACGCCCGCGAACGGGCCAGAAAGGGCCAGAGGCCGCACCATGCTGACGCTCAGGTTGGCCGCGTGGAAGGCCCGTTGACCTTGGAAGCGTCTGAGGCCGGCCTGAGACATAAGTCATCCCCTTCCTGTTTCCCTCTATATGGTGAGCCAGGTGACGCTGACACAGCAACGGCATCCTCTCAAGGAGGGTCGATACACGAACTGTCCTTCTCCTTGCCGCTCCACCACGCATGTCTCTCCGCACGCGCACGTTCCAAGCTGCTAGGAAACGAAACGAAACGAAACGAGGAGGTGGGATGCTGGAGCGTCTGTGCACCCAACTCCTTCGCCGAATCAGTGAGCTCCTCGGCCAGCCAGACGTTGTGGTGTGCATGCACGGTTTCCCCTGGGGCCGTAGGAGACCTGAGGAGGAGGAGGAGGAGGAGGAGGAGGAGAAAGAGGAGGAGGAGGAGGAGGAGGAGGAGGAGGAGGAGGAGGAGGAGGAGGAGGAGGAGGAGGAGGAGGAGGAGGAGGAGGAGGAGGGGGGAAGCCTCGGCCTCGACCGCCCACTCGCCCGCGCCCGCGGCCGCCGCCGCCGCCGGCCTGGGGGAGGCCCTGCAGAAGCAGCGGAGGGCCCACCAGACCACCGGGGGGTACGGCAGGAGCTCGGCCACCAGAGGCCTTCCACCAAACAAACCCCAGTCTTAAATTATGCTGCTCACATCGTACGTCAGGACCTCATCCCCAGACCAACAGCTTGGAGCACCCAGAAGAGGCATCGAAAGAGTGCCGAAGAAATATCGCCTCCCAGGGCCCGACACGTGCAAACCCTCAAGGTGGGGCACTTTCTTGGTGCACGAAATTCTTTTCTGGGGGTGATCAAGGCTAAATTGGGTTGGAACATCATAAACCCAGTCCTGAAACCCTGAGATGTCCATTGGCTCGTGTATTGGCAACGTCGCGCTCTCTACAGCAACAACAAAGAAACGCGAAACCGAAAAAAACAGGGCGCACCCTGGAGGCAAGCAGGGCGTTTCTTGGCATGGGTTTCCACTGTAGGGAGCAGGGAGCAGTGCCTACTTTTAGATCCGACGTTGCAAAACAAATTGCAGCATCGCAAACAAAAATCGCGACCAGAACCCTGGGCCCGCTCTTTCTGCGTCATTTTTCGCGCAGGATCGATCTGTGAGGGTCCTGGGGCCCGACATTCACCGAAAACGCCCGCTGCGAACAAATTGCAACGCCAGGATCTCAAGGCATGGAGAGGGAGGGAGGAGGAGGACGAAGAGGAGAGGAGAGGGGCCAGGAGCAGCGAGGGACGAGGACGGGAGCCGTCGTGGAGCCAAAAACGCGCCGAGGTGGCCCCCCGGCGCCCTTCCCCGGACGCAGAGAGCCACCCGAAAGGGCAGGCGGCATGGTGTGCTTGTTTTCCACCGCCAAACAAGCAGGAAGGGGGGGGTCCTTCTCCTCCTCTCCTTCCTCCTCTTCTCTCTCCTCCTCCTCCTCCACCACCTCCTTCCCCCCTCCAACTTGTGGCGGTGGTGGTGGAAAACAAGCCTCGGCTACACGCAAGAGTGGCCCTGGGTAAGAGTGACCTTTGGTGCGCGGCTGTTGGGGGGCCGCGGGGGGACCAAAACTGGGCGCGGAAGCCGCTGCTCCTGCTTCGTTCTCAGCCACCTGGGGGCCCGTCTGTGCCCGCACCAAGGGTCACTCCGGCGAAAACTCACTCTTATGTCTAGTTGAAGGCCCACCACGGCAGGCTTTCTGCGCGGCGATCCCCACCACGGCAGGCTTTTGGGGGAACCGAAAGGTACCGATACCGCTATTCCCCGGACGTCTCCCAGGGTGCGTTCTGACAAGGACTTCGGGGCGAATCCAGCGGGGGCGACGAAGAATGCCCAGGAGGCCCGAGAAAGGGAAAACGGGCGGAGGGCAGAGGTATAGGTACCTCTTCCTCCTCTGAGCTTTCTGCGCGGCGACCCCCGCGGGCAGCCCCAGCGCGGCCGCGCTCCGAGCGCGCGCGGAGCGGGCGCGCGCGGCGCGCGGCGCGGAGCGCGCGGCGGGCGTCACAGCGGGCCCTCCTGCCGGGGGACGGGGGCGAAGGGGCAGGGGCGGCGGGGCCCTCCACGGGTGTGCGGGCAGAACGAGAAGTGGCGTTCCTCCTCCTCCCCCTCCTGCTCCTCCTCCCCTTCCCCCTCCTCGCCCTCCCCCTCCTCCTCCTCCTCCCCCTCCTCCCCTCCCCCTCCCCCTCCCCCTCCCCCCCCCTTCCCCTTTCTCCCTCCTCTTCCTCCTCCTCCTCCTCCTCCTCCTCCTCCTCCTCCTCCTCCTCCTCTCCTCCTCCTCCTCCTCCTCCTCCTGCTCCTCCTTCTCCTCCTCCTCCTCCTCCTCCTCCTCCTCCTCCTCCTCCTCCTTCTTCTTCTTCTTTCTTTCTCCTCCTCCTCCTTCCGTAGCCATTTTGGCTCAAGATGTCTGCACGAGAGGGCTTCCGCGCCCTCGTGCCAAAGCGGGATTGCTCTGTTTCCCGAGCAAGGCAGTTTTGCCTGGCACCGCCCGACGCGCGCGTTTCTCTTGGCCGTGTGGCTGGCCTCGTTGCTCTCCCGAGTAGGCGAGGGACCATGGCGCCTGGGGGCCGCGGCGGTGGCGAGGCCAAGCCCGACTGGCACTGCCGCTTCTGCAAGTACGAGCATGAGCCCAGGGTCGGGATGCCCTGCATCACATTCGGCACCAAGCAGCTCTGCCACTTTTGCGGCGACGCCAAGGACCGCACTTTCCTGGGCCACGTCCGCGGGGAGGAGGAGCTGCGCCGCGGCCACAGCGGCACCGCGGGTGGTGGTGGCGGCGCAGAAGCCGCTGGGCAACACCTGGCCATGCAGAGGGAGCTCACCAAGCTGCGTGAGGAGCTCAAGACTCTGCGGGCTGAGGGCAAGAAGGGCCCCGTGGCGGAGGCACCCAATGGCGCCGACGCTGAGGAGGGCTCCGATGGGGGCGACGAGCAACGCAAACTTGAACATCTTGATGGCCAGCTACGTGCACTGCGCGGCATCTCCGACCCAGCGAAGGACATTCTCGAAACGATCGAGCGGATGGCGGCCCAGCGGCAGGCCTTGGCAGAGCAGGTGCGTGCCAAGAAGCCCGTTGTGGCGCAGCTGCTCACTCTCCACAAGAAGCTCAAGACCAAGCAGGACGCCATCGGCAGGCAGGACGCGGCTGTGGCCAAGGCGCAGGAGGATGTCACCGCGGCGCAGGCTGCGCTGGAGGCCGAGCGCGAGAAGGGCACGAAGCTGCGCGCCGACGCTGCTGAGCTGGAGGAACAGGCGCGGGCGCTCAGCGCCCAGGTGCCCAAGCCTCCCGAGGCGAAGGAGTCCGCGGGGGCCCCAGGCGAAGCGCCGAACCTCGATGGTTTGGCCGACCTGCTCAAGGAGCTTGGGGCGTCGGGTGATGTCACCGAGAAGTTCTTGGCCCACCCCAAGATCGCGGCGACGTTCGGCCCCGAGGCGCCTGCGGCGCGCGCTCGGCCTGCTGATGATGGGGATCCTGGTGATGCTGCGGCGCCGCCGCCCGACGCCAAGAGGCTGCGCACTGCGGCTGACAAGGCGCCCCTCGAGCAGCTGCGCGACAGCATCGCGGCCGCTGGAGTTCAGGTCCCCATCGAGGAGGCGGAGATCAGGTCCAGGGCGCACCAGATCGCCGCGGCCGCCAGCGCGTGGGCCTACCGTGCCTACTAGGCGCCAGGGGCTGTGGCTTTGGATGTGTTGGCTTACCATGCTCAGTCTGATGGCGGGTGTTTCAGGCAATGACAAGTACGGTGGCAGTCCGGATACTGCCAAGGGTGTGTTGACCACGGTCAACGTTTCATGTGCGCGAGGGCTGACCGAGTACCTCGCAGAGGCCCCGAAGGGCGACATTTTCGGCGTGCAGGAGCATCGCGTCTGGGGTGACAAGTTGAGCTCGCTGCAGGGCCAGGTGCGGGACAGGGGTTTCCACGGCCTGTGGGCCCCAGGCGCGGCCACAGGCGGCGGCCCGCTGGACGTCTCGAGCGGCGTCGCGCTCCTCACGCGCAACGTCATCCCCGTGACGGCGCCGTGTTGGCTGGCCACGTGCACTGGGGTGTGAAGGGCGCCTGGTGCCCGTTCCCCCCAGAATCCCACGTCCTCGGTTCCGGAATCGGTTTCCGAGGCGGCGCCGAAAAAAATGCCATTCCAATACACATTTTTCTTTCGAAAATGCTGAATTTCTGATTCCGGCGCCCGGGAGGTGGTCCGAACCGGCTCCGTCCGACGCCGCGCGCGGCCACAATGCAACCTTGAACGATGGGCCGTTTCCGAAATGTCCAAATCGATCCACATCGAGAGATTCTGGGTCGCCCGCGGCGTTCAACATTGAACGCCGGCGGCGGGGTCGCCGCAAGTCGACACGACGCGAACCCACCGTACCCATGAGGGGACGGGGAAAACTGTGTTCAGCGGAAACTCATGGGAGCCTCCCGTGCCATCTTGTCGGCTCTTGCAAATCGACGCCGATCGACGCTAAATCGACGCTGATCGACGCGAAATCGAAGCTAAATCGAGGCTGATCGACGCAACCAACGCTAAATCGGCGCTACCTCGTCGACTCCCAAACGCTAATCGACGCTACCAGACGCTGAAGACGGAATTCAGAAGTTATACCAGGCTCCCGTGATTTGCCGGCGAAGCCGCGGGCGCGTGTTCGTTCGCCAGGCGAGAGGAGGGGAGGCGGGCCAAGACGAAGCCGAGACGAGGAAAGCATGTGGACGAGGATGGATCGGGGATCTCTGGAATCCGGCGGCTCTGGAGGATGTGAGTCCGGGACGGAGGTCTCCTCGTCCCTGGCCCCGCCCGGCGGGCTGAGGTTGCGAGGCTGAGGTCTGGCCGTCGCTCGGACGCCCCTTCCCTGTGTTTTTGTTTCGGTTTCGTGCGTGGTTGTTTCGCCAATTGATCAATCGGGAGCGGCAAAGAGGGGGGTGTCAAAGAGGGGGGGTGCAAACCATGACCGGCGGCATGTGCGCGGCCAAGTGGGGGGGCCAGGGACGTAATGAAATAAGAAGAGGCGGCATGAAATCTGAAGAAATATCATGCTCCCCGCCATGATATCCACCCCCCCTAATCATCACCCCCCTCTTTTCCGCCCCCGAATCGAGGATGCTCCTCGATGGCCCTCGCCGGAAAAAAATGCACACGTCCGAGCGATGCCGGGAGATTGGAAGCCTCGAGGCCTGGAGCTGCTGCGTCCTCGGGCGCTCTCTAACAGGGGATATGTCGACCCCTATCCCAGGCTTCGTGGGGTTTCCGAATGGACCAGAAATTCTAGACGCTTCGCGTATCCCCACCAGCCCGTCCAGAAATGAGTCCCAGGGGAGTGGAGGTTATGAGGGAAGCGGGGGAGCATGCAGAAGAACAAAGGGCGGGGTGAGCCGCCATATACCCCAAGAGGGGGAGGATGTAGGAGGAGCCGTCGTCGTCGGAGTAGGAGGAGGAAGAGGAGGAGCAGGAGGAGGAGCAGGAGGAGGAGGAGGAGGAATAGAAGGAGGAGGAGATGGAGGACTGCGAGGACGAGGAGGACGAGAAGGAGGAAAAGGAGAAGGAGGAGGAGGAGGAGGAGGAGGAGGGGGAGGGGGAGGAGGGAGGAGGAAGAAAAAGAGGAGGAGGAGGAGGAGGAGGACAATTGCGAGCTTGGGGGCCTCTTGGGCCGTCCTTGGGGCCTCTTGGCGGTCCCGGGGGCCTCTTGCGTATCTCGGGGAGCCTCTTGTGGCCTCTTGGGGGTCTCTTGGGGGCCTCTTGGAGGCCTCTTGGGGGCCTCTTGGGGCCTCTTGGGGCCCTCTTGGGGCGCTCTTGGGAGCCTTCGAGGCGCTCTTGGGGCCATCTTGGAGGAGATCTATCAAAGAAGGGGGGGTCCCCAATTAGCGCTGCCCCTCTAGAGTGCCTCGAGTCGCCTGTTGGGCCCCCCCATGAGGCCAAAATCCTTCCAAAACCTAGGTAGAAATCAATGTTTTTTGTTTTCTCGCCTTTTCGCTCTTGGACCCGTCTTGGGAGCCTCTTGGGCCTCTTGGGGGTCTCTTGGGAGCCTTTTGGAGGCCTCTTGGGCGCCTCTTGGGGCTTCTTGGGGCGCTCTCGGGGCGCTCTTGGGGCGCTCTTGGGAGCCTTCGGGGCGCTCTTGGGGCCATCTTGCAGGAGATCGATCAGAGAAGAGGGGGTCCCCAATTAGCGTTGCCCCTCTAGAGTGCCTCGAGTCGCCTCTTGGGCCCCCCAAGAGGCCAAAATCCTTCCAAAACCTAGATAAAATCAATGTTTTCTGTTTTCTCGCCTTTTCGCTCTTGGAGCCGTCTTGGGCCATCTTGGACTCTCTTGGGGCCTCTTGGGGGTCTCTTGGCAACGTCTTGGAGGCTTCTTGGGGGCCTCTTGGGGTCTCTTGGGGCCCTCTTGAGGCGCTCTTGGGGCGCTCTTGGGAGCCTTCGGGGCGCTCTTTGGGCCATCTTGGAGGAGATCTATCAAAGAAGGGGGGGTTGCTTATTAGCCCCGCCCCTCCAGAGTGCCTCGAGTCGCCTCTTGGGCCCCCCCAAGATGCCAAAATCCTTCCAAAACCTAGGTAAAATCAATGTGTTGTGTTTTCTCGCCTGTTCGCTCTTGGAGCTGTCTTGGGCCATCTTGGACGCTCTGACACCTCGCGACCGGCCCCGTCCAGGTCAGTGGGGAGGGGTAAGGGGAGGGGTAAACCCCTCCCCGAAGGGGAAGAAGGGGGTTGGCAGAGGAAACTCCCTAGACCACCTACGCCCTAAAGGGCTGGTGGGATTTGGGGCCCAACCCTGGGATATACGATGGGAAGGTGCCCATCCTCGATAGGGATGCGTCCGAATAGCCCCCTTGGGGTGTATCCCAGGGTTTTCCCATTCTTCTGAGCGGCCAGACTTTTCGGGCGAAACTCGGGGATTGGGGGAGAAACATCGCCCGCGACTCTCGTCGGCCCCTCGGGCGGCATGGCCGGCCTCGGCGGCGCCCTGCAGCGGCCGCGCCCCGCCGGGGGGCGTGTGTTCCGGGGGTGCCCCGGCGCCGTCCCGAGGGGGCCGCGGGAGAGACCCAGCGAGGTCGCGACCCGAAATACTCCTCCCCCTCCCCCTCCTCCTCCTCCTCCTCCTCCTCCTCCTCCTCCTCCTCCTCCTCCTCCTCCTCCTCCTCCTCCTCCAGTCGGGGCGTTGACCTAAGGAACCCTAAATAAGGAACGAGGCCCCTTTTTCCCACAAGTTAAGCTTCGACTTCCCATCGAGACCCTAAGCAAAACCCAAGGTGAGCTGCGAAAAAACTAAGGAACACCGAGCCCCTCCCCAGCGAAAAGGGTTCCTCCTTCAGGGCCCCGACTCCAGGGGGCCACATGCGAACCCTACCCCTACCCCCGCGAGCTTCGACGGTGGACAACCCTCCCTGTAGTGAGCATCCCCTCAGTGAAAACGACCTGGGACCGAAAACGACGGACCTGGACCCGCACAAGTGACGGCCGTGACGCACTCTCCCGAACCGAAAGCGGCCAAATCCTCCATCGACGCGTCAGGGCAGGAGGCCTATCCACCTCCGAGACTCCTGAAGGGGGCAGGGTGGGGTCCGCTTCGTTCGGGAGCTCCCGAGCGAAGTGACAATCCCGCCCTCCCCACTCAGAAATCGCGGGGGGCGGTGGCAGGTTCGCACGCGGCCCCCTACAGTCGGGGCGCTGAAGAAGGAACCCTTGGCGTTGGGGAGGGGCTCGGTGTGCCTGAATGGCGCCACGCCGTGCCTGCGCTTTTCCTCAAAGTTGTCGAGGGGAAAATGAAGTTTACCTTATGGAAAAAAAGGCCTCGTTCCTTATTATTTAGGGTTCCGTAGGTCAACGCCTCGACTGTCAACGCCTAAGGAACCCGAAATAAAGAACGAACCCCCTTTTTTCCATTCACTGAACTTCGATGCCCCATGGAAAACCTCGGGAACACCCGAGGCAAACTGTGAAACAATCAAGGAACACTGAGCCCCTCCCCAACGACAAGGGTTCCTCCTTCAGCGCCCCCTACAGTCGGGGCGCTGAAGAAGGAACCCTTTGCGTTGGGGAGGGGCTCGGTGTTCCTTCATGGCTCCACACCTTGCCTGCGGTTGTCCTTCAGGGGTCGAGGGGAAGTCGAAGTTTAACTTCTGACAAAAAGGTGCCTCGTTCCTTACTTAGGGTTCCTTGGGTCAACGCCTCGCCTTGACCTGAGGTAAGATAAGTAAGGAACGAAGCCCCTTTTTTTTACCCCAAGGAATAACGCATAAGGCACGTTACATAACAAACAACGCACAAGGAACTGCAAATAACGCATACAAACCTAAGGAACGACCGAGTCCCTTTTGAAAAGCAAGTGTTCCGTATTCAAGCTACCATGGAAAACCTCGGGAACACCCGAGGCAAACTGTGAAACAATCAGGGAACACCGAGCCCCTCCCCAACGAAAAGGGTTCCTCCTTCAGCGCCCCGACTGTACGGAGGCTGACAGGCGCGCCGCGCGAGCCGCCCCCCGCGCATCATGCGGCGGCCTCAGCCGCCCGCTCCCCGCTGCCCGCTCCCTCGGGTCTCGCTCCGGCCCCTGCGGTGCAGCCCTGACGAGGAGGAGGAGGAGGAGGAGGAGGAGGAGGAGGAAGGAGGAGGAGGAAGGAGGAGGGGGAGGAGGAGCAGGAGGAGGAGGAGGAGGAGGAGGAGGAGGAGCAGGAGGAGGAGGAAGGAGGAGGGAGGAGGAGGAGGAGGCTGCCAGGGGGGCAGGCTCCGCGCGGGAGGCCCCGCGCCGCAGCCCGCGACACGCGCACCTCGCCGGCAGCGGCGAGGGGCGGGCGACGGAGGGGCCGGCGCGTGCCCGCCCGAGCGGAAAGGGCCCTCGGACACACCCAGAAGTAGGCACAGATAGCAGGATGCCCCAGACGTTCCCATGTGGGTTGTTGTCTTTACCTCCTCCTCCTCCTCCTCCTCCCTCCTCCTCCTCCTCCTCTCTCCTCCTCCTCCTCCTCCTCATCCCCCAACAAGTAGACACAGATAGCAGGATTTACTGGGCTGTTGTCTTTCCCCCCCCCCAAGCCCCGCCTTTTCCCATATGTTCTGCGGAATCGGCGATTCCTCGTGCCTGTGTGTGCTCCTTCCCCTCCTGACGGAGCCCGTCCCCACCCGAGCGGCGGAACGCAACGGATCTCGCGCGAGATGACACCGCAGCCCTACGCGGTGGCGTACGCGGGCCGCCGGCGCGGAACGCTGCACGGGAACTCGGGGCGCTCACGCGCGACCTTGCGCGGGCGCGCGCAGATGTCGGTGAGGACGGCCCCGTTCTCAGCCGTCGCTCACCTTACGCTGCCCCTGAGCAAGGGGGGGGTGTTGTGGTAAAGGCCTGAAGTTAGCGGAACTGCCTAGGGCCCAAGGTGCCCCCAGGATTCTCGGGGTGGCCCAGGCGGTCTCCAGCGCACCCCTCACGAGGCCCAGAGGGCCCCAGATGCCCCACAATGGAGCGACGAGCTGGGGACAATGCCCACCCCCAGCGCACCCCCTGTGGCGTCGAATAAATCCCACGCATGCCATGCCCTGCGAGCCTGCGACGCATAGCGCCCCCACCCCCAGCGCACCTCCTGTGGCATCGAGGGAATGCCACACCCTGCGAGCCTACCCATGCGGGAGTATGCAACGTTTAGCGGGAGCATGCAACGCATAGCGGGAGCATGCAACGCATAGCGCCCCCCCAACCCCCAGCGCATCCCCTGTGGCGTCGAGGCAATGCCATGCCCGCCATGCCTTGCGAGCCCGCAAGGCATAGCGCCCCCACCCACAGCGCAACCCCTGGGGCGACGAGGACTCGCCACGCCTGCCATGCTGTGCCAGCCTGCAACGCATAGCGCCCCCACCCCCAGCGCACCCCCTGGGGCATCGAGGAAATGCCACCCCTGCCACGCCCTGCGAGCCTGCAACACATAGCGCCCCCACCCCCAGCACACCCCCTGTGGCGTCGAGGCAATGCCACGCCGACCACGCCGTGGGAGCCTGCGACGCATAGCGCCCCCACCCCCAACGCACCCCCTGGGGCGTCGAGGAAAGGCCACGCCTGCCACGCCCTGCGAGCCTGCAACGCATAGCGCTCCCACCCGCAGTGCACCCCCTGCGGTGTCAAGGAAATGCCACCCCTGCCACGCCCTGCGCACCTGCAACGCATAGCGCCCCCACCCCCAGCGTGTCAATGGCACAGGATCCGAGAGAGTGTAGTTTCAACTATCATGATTATGGGTTGCAGTAAAGCAGTGCTGTATATGATTTGTGGTGAAGAAAACCAGAACCCCACGAAACGTGTGGGGAAAAAACATGTACGGCTCCCTGATTGGCAGGGAGCGAGGCGGCAAGCGGATGGCGAGGGTCCTCCACCTTCACGTCGTCCATGGGTCTGAAGTCTGACAAGCCTTGGCAGGTTGTGCAAAACTGAAGTTTGAATTGCGGGCGGATGAGCGAGCATGCATCGGAGACGTAAGTTCGTCCGACATGCAAGCTATGCACGAATGGCTCAAAGCGGATCACTTGTACTGGCGTCGCGGAGCTGACGCGCATGTCCTAGCAACTGATCGCGCCCATTGCCTCCTCGAGCTGCGAATGGGATCTGTGATTGGCACGAACAGCACGTCCGCTGTCTGCAACCCCGTCGCAGCAGCGGCTCAGGAAAATCTGGGGTAAGCCCAGGTGCTCTGGAGCAAAGTGCGGATGGCACCATCATTTGCACGCATCAGCGCCCCCATTGACCGCACAGATGTGTACATCTGCATGTATACGTACACTCCAGATCTCGTAATAAAAGGGAGGGGGTCTGGACCCTCCAGGACAAGCCATTTCAGACCCCCCCCCCCCCGTGGGAGAACCCTCCAAAACATCGTCCCCAGACCCCCCCAGGCCCTCCAGGATGGCCTGGAAGAGACACACACCCCGAAAGGAGACCCCCCCTCCCTTTCTTACGACATCTGGAGCACACATCTGTACACCTCGCAGCTCGACTGCCCGCACGCAGAGCCACGTGCCCTGCACGAGGCGTGCCCCCCCCACCCCCCCCGAGAGGGAACTCTCCTGCAGGAACTCCGTCGGGAACGGGCGCCTGGCCGAGTCTGGGAGCCTCCGGGCTCCTGGGCCATGGTGGCTACACCCTGCGAAATGCTTAAGAAATCAGGGGTTGAGAAATTCATAGTCTCAGAGCGTGGATAAAAAAAAACCCAACATGTCCATCGAAATCTTAGGATTCACACTGAAACGTTGAGAAACATCGAGACGCTGGCCGACATGCCTGCACGAGACAGTGCTCCCCGAGAGGGAACTCTCCTGCAGGAACTCCCGTCGAGGACGGGCGCCTGGCCGAGTCTGGGAGCCTCGGGGCTCCTGGGCCATGGTGACTACTCCAGATTTCGTAAGAAAGGGAGGGGGGTCTCATTTCGGGGGGGGTCTCTTCCAGGCCATCCTGGAGGGCCTGGGGGGGTCTGGGGACGATGTTTTGGAGGGTTCTCCCACGGGGGGGGGGTCTGAAATGGCTTGTCTTGGAGGGTCCAGACCCCCTCCCTTTTATTACGAAATCTGGAGTACGGGTTCCACATGTAATTTTTGCTCGATGCTCCCCGACCCCCCCCCCCACTGGAAATGCAGGGCAAACTCAGGCCTTCGGGTTGGGTCGGGGTGGTTCTGAAGGGGCCCTGGGACACGCACCAATAAGTACGCACAAGTAACAGGATTGGTTCCCCCTTATGCTCCAACATGTTCTGGGCTTTTGTCTTCCCCCCCCCCACTACGTATGTGTTCCCATATGTTCTGGGAAATCGAGGATGAATTGTGTCTGCTTGTTTTTGTTACTTCCTGAGGTGACGTGGCTCCGAGTCGGGGACCTTCTGACCCGGGTCAATCCAGACCCGGGTCAGCAGGAAACCAAAAACTGCAATGCAGGAAAAAAAACTGCAACGCAGGTCCTCGCAAACCCGGGTCAGCCAATATGTGCGGCCGCCTCGCGGCCACGAGCGGCTCCCTGACCCGGGTCAGCCAGAGGGGGCCTTTGCAGGATCCTGCAGGATCTGGCGCCCTGGCTGACCCCCGTTTGCATTGACCCCCGTCTCGAGGCCCCCGACCGAGGCGCTCCCGAGGCGCTCCCGGGCGCTCTCCGCCCTCGAGCGAGCGCCCCCTCCGCCCCCTCTCGGGCGCGCCCCCTCGGGCGGCTCCCCGGGCCATTCCCCGGACGCTCCCCGGCGGTGGGCTCCCGCGGCGCGCCCCCGCAGAGCTGAAGTTAGCGCGGGGGGGCGAGGACGATCTCCGCTCTTAGCGCCACGCGCGGGTGTCGGGGAAAGCAGAAGGGCCACACGCGAACCCGACCCCTGCCCCCCCCCCCCCCTCAGAAATCGTGGGGGGCAGGGGTAGGGTTCGCATGTGGCCCCCCAGGAAAGCAGAGACAGGGGCTCCCCACTTCGCGCTTCCCGCTGCGCAGAGCGCGAAGTGCGAATCACTTCGCGCTCTCGCGCCGCCTCCCAGTGGAGAAGAGGAGGCCGGGGAGGGATCGGAGCCGAACCGCGAAGCGCGTATCACTTGGCGCCCTCGAGGGCGCCCTTGGCGCAAGTGTGGGGGGAAAGCAGAAAGAGCTACTCCAGATTTCCTAATAAAAGGGAGGGGGTCTGGACCCTCCAAGGCAAGCCATTTCAGACCTCCCCCGTGGGAGAACCCTCCAAAACATCGTCCCCAGACCCCCCCAGGCCCTCCAAGATGGCCTGGAAGAGACCCCCCCCGAAATGAGACCCCCTCCCTTTTATTATCGGGACCGGCCAAGAGGGGGGTGTCCAAGAGGGGGGGGTGCAAATCATGACCGGCGGCATGTGCGCGGCCCAGCGGGGGGGCCAGGGACGTAGTAAAATAAGAAGGGGCGCCGCGAAATCTGGGGAGATATCATGGCCTACGCCATGATATCCACCCCCCCTAGTCATCACCCCCCTCTTTTCCGCCCCCGATATTACGAAATCTGGAGTATACAGTCGGGCCTGGGACGGGAGGCTGTCCTCCAAGAACACGAGACCCTCGGCAGGACAAAGTGCGGGGCACCCGAGGGTGCAACCCCCCAGTGGTGCACAAACACATCCGACAAGAACCCGACGAACATCGGGGCACCCTCCCCGAACCGACCTCGGTCTCATGCCTCGGTGTATGTTGTTCCCGTCCTGCTTAAGGACTGGGACCGCATCCCAGAAATACTTTCGAACACCCGGAAAAGTGTCAAAAGAGTGTCGAAACAGTGCCGAAACAGTGTCGGGCGAGAGTCTCCCAGGGCCCGACGCGTGAAAACCCTGGAGTTTCGGTACTTGTTTGGGCGCTCGAATTTCTTCCTGGTGCTCAAGGCTAAAGTAGGTTGGAGCATCATAAGCCTCCGTCTGACCGTACCCTTGAGCAAGGACCGACCGTCCCGGCATTCCTGTAGTCCTACCATGAAATGTTTTTAGAACCCAAAACTGTTCTAAGCACAAAAACAATGTTCTTATAATATGAACCCCATGTGATAAAGCAAGACAGGCTCTGCCAGAAATGCTCTAAGAACATGTCGTGGGAATCACGTGAGAACCACAAAAGGTTCCTAGAACATTGTTTGGTGGGGCTACAGGCGAGCCGGGACGCTTCGCCACTGCTTGACGAAGGTGACGCCCTGTCTGGAACGCCCACGCGCGCCCTCCGATCCAGAAGTCTCGAGAGGACCCTGGCGGCCGAGAAGACGCCCGGAGGCCTCGGCCCTCGAGCCTCGGCCGAAAGAAAGGAGAGGAGCCCGCCGCGCCCGGCAGGGGTCGGCTGCGCCAGGGTCTGCCTGGGTGCAGTGCTCTGGGGGGGCCGGCGGGTGGGATGCACGCGACCCTGCCGAGCTCCCTCCCGTGGGACGCAAGGGGACATACAGTGCGGGCGCGGTCGCATGAAACCCCCGCAAGAAACCCAACCCCGGAAACCCGCGCGAGAGGTGCACCTGAGGGAAAAACCCGCGCCCCGCAGGGGTCGGCTGCGCCGGGACGCTTCGCTTGACATAAGCCTCGGTCCGACCGTGCCCGTGCCGCTGCTCGGGAGCGCCAAGAGGGGGGTGTCCAAGAAGGGGGGGGGGTGCAAATCATGACCGGCGGCACGTGCGCGGCCCAGCGGGGGGGCCAGGGCCGTAATGCGCCATCAAATCTGGGGAAACATCGTGGCCCCCGCCATGATACCCACCCCCCCTCCTCCTCCTCTCCTCCTCCTCCTCCTCCTCCTCCTCCTCCTCCTCCTCCTCCTCCTCCTCCTCCTCCTCCTCCTCCTCCTCCTCCTCCTCCTCCTCCTCCTCCTCCTCCTCCTCCTCCCCTCTTCCTCCTCCCTCTTCCTTCTCCTCCCTAGTCATCACCCCCCTCCCTTCCGCCCCCGAGCTGCTCCGCGGCCGCCGCTGCCCTGTCGACTGCACGCAGGAGTGACCCTGGGTAAGAGCGACCTTTGGTGCGCGGCTTTTGGGGGGCCGCGGGGGGGACCAGAAACGAGCGCGCGAGACGCAACTGCCGCCTCGCAATCGGTGATCGGGGGACCCCATTGGGCCCGCACCAAAGGTCACTCCGGCGAAAGGGCACTCTTACGTGGAGTCGACCTGGGCGCGCGCTCCGACCCCCGGCCCTCCCGGGCGAGCCCCGCCGCGGCGGCGGGGTGGGGGGCTCTCTCTCTCGGAGGGCGGGGGCGGCGGCGGCTGTGCGCACCGTCCGCCGCCGTCGGGGAGGAGGACGACGAGGCAGCGGCTCGCCATCGCTCGGACGTCCATTCCTCGTGTATGTTTAGATTGCGTGCGTGTTTTTTTCGCCAAATAACCAAGGATGGTCCTCGATGGCCGTCGTCGAGGAAAAATGCACACGCCCGAGCGATGCCAGGGTGGAGGCCACTGCCCCGGGAGCCTTCCACCGGAAGGCCCGGCCCCGAGACCCCAGGACGAGGAGAAGGAAGACGAGGCAGCGGAGGCGGGAGAGGGAGGATCGGATCGGATCGGGATGCCCAGAAGGGGAAGTGCACGGCACCAAAAAACCTGGACAGATCGGGACGGCTGGCCAGATCTCCTGGCCTCCTTTTCCCCCGAGCTCTCTGGAGAAGGGCCGCCACTCTCTGCTCATGCATTGGGACATCCCCTGAGGCCAGAACGAACGAGGTACACCCTGCGAAATGCTCAAGAAATCATGGGTTAAGAAACTCATAGTCTCAGAATGTAAATAAAAAACCCAGAATTTCGATTGAAATCTTAGGATTTACATTGAAACATTAAGAATAATCGAGGCTCTGGCCAAAAACTCAAGTTTTCTTAAGCATCGCCTAGGGTGTACAGTCAGGGGCGACGAGGCGAAGGACGACGAGGCAGTGGAGGCCACTGCACCAGGAACCTTCCACGGGAGGCCAGACCCTGAGACCCCAGGAC